ACTTCACTTAATCCTCCAGGGAAAGATTGAAGGCAAACGAGGTCCAGGCAGAAGAAAAACATCATGGCTTCAAAATCTAAGGGACTGGTTTGGACAAAACTCAGCAGCACTTTTTCATGCGGCTGCTGATAAAAATAGGATTGCCATCATGGTCGCCAACGTGCAATGACGGATATGGCACAAGAAGAAGAATGTCTCTAGATCAGTGTTTTTCAAGTCTGGCAACTTTTAAGACCTTTTGAAGTTAATTAGCTAGTGCTTTGCTATAATGAGTTGGACTTGTATTATCAACTTAAGATTTAAATAAATTGTTCAAGCTGGTATGAAGCATGCTTGTTGTAGTTCGCCAGCAGCCTGTGGAGCTGGCAGCGGAGTTGGACAGCGATGAGGCTGAGGAAGAACATGGGCCAGTCCTGGAGGCTGGGGAAGGCCCAGATGAAGGCTCTGCGTCGGAGGCAGAGATGGGGCCAGGGCCATCGGGAAGTGATGTGCGGACTCCGGAGACTCCAGAGGCTGACAGTAAAGAGTCAGAGGAACAGGAGGAGCCTGTTCCTAGTGCATGTATGAGAAGAGCTGCCAGAAGGCAAGAGCAGCTAAAGCAAAGAGGATGACTCGGGAGTAGGGCCAAGAGATGATTGGACCCTCCCATAAGACTTAAAAAGACCAGCAACGGCTCTTGGGCTCTTTATCAAAAAACAACGTTGATAGTCTTGCTGTACTTATCTCGTCGGTGTCTTCTTGCTTTTGCCAAGAGAAGCCTTTGGCAGTTTGCCTAATTATACCAAGGTTGGTGATTAGACTGAAGAATTTGTGTTATGAAGACTTTGTGTTGATTTAGTTTGGACTACGCTGAGAATGAGTTAATTCTCAGCTGTTCTAATAAAGTGTTTGTTTTGGAACTGTTTGCGTTGAATACTACCTACTTGGGCCTGGGTCACAACGATGCTCTGAGTCTTCATTGTGAAAGTGTCAAGTGGTAGGTCCAAAAAGTATAGCTTCTTTGCCCTTTGCAAGCCCGAGAAATAGGTGGCCCTAACTGTATTGATCTCTCAGGCAGCTTGAACACCTGATTCTTCCCTAGGTATTAGTGCTGGGATGTCAATCATAGTTGCTCTGGCATGGGTATATGTGGTCAATGATCACTGAGCTTCTTTTGGATCTTGGCTTGGCTTCTTTTATTTATTGCCTGCCTTTATTATTTTTATGAATAACTCAAGGTGGCAAACATATACAACATACCTTCCTCCGATTTTCCTCAAAACAAGAACCCTGTGAGGTGAGTTGGGCTGAGAGAGTGACTAACCCAAAGTCACTCAGCAGGCTTTCATGGCCATGGTGGGACTAGAACACAGACTCCTTGCTTCTAGCCTGATGCCTTAATTCAGTGGTTTCAAACTGGCGGCCTGTGGGACGGATGTGTCAGACTTAGGCCACGCTCACCCGTTCTGTGAAGGGGGAAAATGTTGTGATACATCATGTGACGGCAACGTGACGCCGCAAGTTTGACACCCGTGCCTTAATTACTAGACTGAACTGACTCTCTTTTAATAATTTTGATTTAATAATTAAAATTAATTTTAATGAAATGCTTTGCTTTTTTTAGTTTCCTTAGATGGACAACATGCAAACTGGATTGATAAATACAGAAACATGGAAAGGTAAAAGAATATAACGTCAGCCCTGGAGACCATCTTTTCCTTCGAACTTCAGGGCTACCACATTTAGTGCCTGGGAAAACGGGAGGGGGGATTTACAAGGAGTTGGTGAAGATATATAGCCATAACAACATTCTTTTCTCTGAGAGTCAAGGACGTTTAGCCTGCGCCTGGATAGCTGTCTCCAGTTTGGACGGTGGATTGATTGGATCGTGTGACAGACATGTGGGTGCAGGGGATGGGTCTTTGACTTTCTTTTGGGTGGGGAAAACCCAGGAATTTTCAGATTCGGGTTTTCCCAGATGTGCCAGTATGACATCTCTAATAAAATGGATCTTTTGAGGAATTGCTAGCCTCAGAGTCTTCTTTAGTTGGGGTGTTACTTGGAACCCTGATATATAAATTTGGAAGTGATGATAAAAAACCCTAAACAACCGTAAACAAGAGCCGAGGTGGCGCAGTGGTTACTGCGTAGTGCAGTACTGCAGCTACTTCAGCTGACTGCTAGTTCAGCAGATCAGCGGATCAAATCTCACCGGCTCAAGGTTGACTCAGCTTTCCATCCTTCCGAGGTGGGTAAAATGAGGACCCAGATTGTTAGGGGGCAATATGCTATTTAGTATACTGTCTTTGGTGTAAGCCGCCCAGAGTCCTTGGAGAGTGGGCGGCATAGAAATATGACTAATAAATAAATAAATAAATAAAATAAAATAAACATCCAGTACTAAAAGAATTAAAAGGATTAATTTCTACAAAAAGGAAAGAATTGGCAATTTTGGTAAACAGTAAAAAAAATGGGTTAGTTTTTACTATAGTCTGATTTTTAAACAAATAGTCCTCAGGTTAAACGGCAATTAGGACTGGTATTGCCTCCTTGCTAATTGAGAGTTACAGATCATGACATCACATGATTGTGTTGCTTAGCGACAATCCTGGCAGTCCTGGTTGCCATTGTAACCCCAAGATATGTGGGTCCTAAAGCGGGAAACAGTGGGTGTCCCAAGTAAGGAGGTAAGGACATCATGTGAGGGGGAAGCAGGCTGCAGTGCACCACACAGGAGCGAAGAGAGGCTGAGGGGACTTGCCGGAGCCAGTTTGGTCTAGTGTTTAAGGCACCAGGCTAGAAAGAAAGAGACAGGAGATCTCGTCTTGCCTTAACTCTGAAAACCAACTGGATGACCTTGGCCAATTACTCTCTCTCAGCCCAACCCACCTCATAGGGTTGTTGTTGTGAGAACAATAAGAGGAGGAAGTATGTTGGATATGCTCACCACCTTGAGTTTGTAAAAAATAATAAAGGTGAGATACAAATAAAATAAAAACTTGCAACCTTACTGCTGGCTTCCCCATTAACTTTGCTTGTGGCAGAGAAGATTGCAAATGGTGATTCCATGTCTGTGGGATGTTACAGCTGTTGTGCGGTGCCTGAATTGTGATCATGTGAATGGTGTGACAGCCGGAACTTCTAAAACCAGTTGTAAGTAACAAAAAGGAACTGTATGATTTTATGAGCTATCAGCCAATGGAATGGGTTGTCGTGTGGTGCGTTCCTCCCTAGAGGTCTTCAATCTGAGGTTGAATGAATGATTTGCCAGAGATGCTGTAATGGATACAAAAATAAGCAGGGGTTTGAACTAGATGATCTCTAGTTCTAGAATTCCAATTCTATGGTATTAACCCGATCGTTTCAAAAAATGCTATGGTGGAAATCTGCATGACCCTTTCTTTTAAGATCAAAGAAATGTACAAGATCCTCACATACGTCAAACATTCATTCTTCATTCTTAACATCACTCCATCCATCCCTGCTGGGAGTGAGGTACCCATATTTACTCTGGAGATACATAATAGATTTTCTACATCCTTCTAAAAAATGAATGTAGATACTAATTAAGAGAGGAAAAACTAGAGAGGAAGTCCTCCCACTTATGACTGCATGACTGTAAATTTGTTGCTTGTATCCTTACGATTTATATTGATATTGTTTCTTAGTATGATTTGATTGCTTATTTGTACCCTATGACCAGGGTGGATTTGATTTAAATCGAGTTGATTTAAATCACAATTTAAATCATGATTTAAATCACTAGTAAAAAGGCTTGATTTAAATCAACTCGATTTAAATCATAATTTTTAAAGAGCAACTATCATCTCTGCTACTCCTTTGACCCACTGTTGACTCACCGATAGTCCCAGTGTTGCAGAATATACAGCCTCATGCTACATAACTAAGCTCCATTTCATGCTCAATAAACTAAATTATTTATGTATCTTAAATAGAAAACTATCTTACGATAGATTTTTTACCCTAAAAGTTTTTTATTAAAATAAATTCAATAAAAACCAAAAAAATCCGATTTAAATCAAAAAAATCTGATTTTTTTGATTTTTTTAAAAAAATGATTGATTTTTATCCACCCTGCCTATGACTATCATTAAGTGTTGTACTTTATGATAATTGATGAATGTATCTTGTCTTTTTATGTACACTGAGAGCGTATGCACCAAAGACAAATTCCTTGTGTGTCCAATCACACTTGGCCAATAAAGAATTCTATTCTATTCTATTTCTATGAGTGTGTTTTCTTTTAGTCTTGGGGGTGAACCAGGCTTCTTTCCGTCTTTATCCTTCAAAGGAAAAAGATCCCATTTCTGATGCTTCTACTGTGTTATCCTCGTTTACTGTCTATATTTTGATGCATAAATATTCTGGAAGAGGAGAGCATGACATTCCACATGGCAGCAATTCGTTGATTGGTTGGCTTATATTTAACATAAAGGAACAGCTCTTTTTCTCTAGGGTGGACAGAATGTAAGCAGTTTTGGATGCAGAAGAATCCAAACTCTTCACAACCAATACTGGGTGAGCAGCCAACAGTCCCTCTTCACAACCGATTTGGAAGTTCATCCGACAGGAAATGAAATAGGCTGCAGCCCATTCTGAAATGCATGTCTAAAGCTTAAGGCCGCTGCTTTGGGGGACGATTCCCCACCACCTTCAAGCCAGCAAATTTGGAAACGTGGAAATCTCAAGGAAGCATCGCTGGCCCCTCACGTTCCAGTCCGGATGATTCTGGAGGCAGCGATTTCTTCCCCCCTCCCCCCTGCCGCTGCTGCAACTAGAGCAGGGGTCTCCAAACCTTGGCCACTTCAAGCCTGGCGGACTTCAACTCCCAGAATTCCCCAGCCAGCTATGCTGAACTCTAGAATTCCAAAGCTGACTGGAGAATTCTGGGAGTTGAAGTCCGCCAGGCTTGAAGTGGCCAAGGTTGGAAACCCCTGCGCTAGAGGGATGGGACGCTTTGGCCCCGCCCCCATCCCGACATGCCTCGCGCTCAAAGCACAGCGGACTTTCCGTAGGCAAGATGGCGGCGCCCACGCTCCGGGCCGGGCGCCTATGGTTTCTTTCGGCTCGGAGGCCGCCGCCGCCGCCGCCCCGACTCCTGGTTTCGCAGACGCGGCGGCAGCGTCACGACCAGCAGCCAGACGCCCGTCCGACGCCGGCCTCTCCCGTGGCGAAGGGTCTCTTAGCCACCCAGTACCAGCGCGGTCTGTTCCAGGAGGTGTTCCCGCCTCAGCCCGCCGACGAGCAGCTCATCGAGCTCCTCCAACCCGGCCGCCCTCCCGTGACGGCTTACTGCGGCTTCGACCCCACGGCCGACTCGTTGCACGTCGGGCACCTGCTGGCGGTGCTGGGCTTGCTGCACTTCCAACGGGCCGGCCACGACGTCATCGCCCTGGTGGGCGGCGCTACGGCGCGGCTGGGCGACCCCAGCGGCCGCACCAAAGCCCGGGAGCCGCTGACGGCGGAGGAGGTGCGGGAGCGCGCGCGGGGCCTCCTCGAGGGGCTCCAGCGGCTCTTCCAGAACCACCGGGAGCTCTTCTGGGCCGAGGAAGGAAACCGCCTGGGCAGCGTCCATTTCCTGGACAACGCCAGCTGGCTGGAGAGCGAGTCGGTCATCGGCTTCCTGGCCGGAGTCGGGGGTCACCTCCGGATGGGCACGTTGCTGAGCCGGCAGAGCTGCAAGGCCCGCTTGAGTAGCCCCGAAGGCATGGGCTTGGCCGAGTTTCTCTACCCGGCCCTTCAAGCTTACGACTTCCTGCATTTGTACCGTGGCTACGGCTGCCTCGTTCAGCTGGGCGGAGCCGACCAGTTGGGCAACATCATGTCTGGCTACGACCTCGTCTCTAAGTAAGACAGGAAGGAGTTGGGGAGGTTTGCAGGGCGCCCAGCAACTCTTGATGTGGCAAAGGGATGCGTTGGCATGTCATGTACATTTACGGTACATATTTGCGGTATATAAGTCTAGTAAGTCTAAGGTATGTAAGTGATGCCATCACACAAAATCACATTCATACTGTGAAGCGGTATATAAGTCTAAGGTATACAGTGGGGCAAAAAAAGTATTTAGTCGGCCACCAATTGTGCAAGTTCTCCCGCTTAAAAAGATGAGAGAGGCCTGTAATTGTCATCATAGGTAGACCTCAACTATGAGAGACAAAATGAGAAAACAAAGCCAGACAATCACATTGTCTGATTTGGAAAGAATTTATTTGCAAATTATGGTGGAAAATAAGTATTTGGTTAATATCAAAAGTTCATCTCAATACTTTGTTATATATCCTTTGTTGGTAATGACAGAGGTCAAACTTTTTCTGTAAGTCTTCACAAGGTTGGCACACACTGTTGCTGGTATGTTGGCCCATTCCTCCATGCAGATCTCCTCTAGAGCAGTGATGTTTTGGGGCTGTCTCTGGGCAACACAGACTTTCAACTCCCTCCAAAGGTTTTCTATGGAGTTGAGATCTGGAGACTGGCTAGGTTACTCCAGGACCTTGAAATGCTTCTTACGAAGCCACTCCTTCGTTGCCCGGGCAGTGGGTTTGGGCTCATTGTCATGCCACGTTTCATCTTCAATGCCCTTGCTGATGGAAGGAGGTTTGCACTCAAAATCTCGCAATACATGGCCCCGTTCATTCTTTCCTGTACATGGATCAGTCGTCCTGGTCCCTTTGCAGAGAAACAGCCCCAAAGCATGATGTTGCCACCCCCATGCTTCACAGTAAGTATGGTGTTCTTTGGATGCAACTCCGCATTCTCTCTCCTCCAAACACGACGAGTTGTGTTTCTACCAAACAGTTCTACTTTGTTTTCATCTGACCATATGACATTCTCCCAATCCTCTTCTGGATCATCCAAATGCTCTCTAGCAAACTTCAGACGGGCCCGGACATGTACTGGCTTAAGCAGGGGGACACGTCTGGCACTGCAGGATCTGAGTCCCTGCGGCGTAGTGTGTTACTGATGGTAGCCTTTGTTACGTTGGTCCCAGCTCTGCAGATCGTTCACTAGGTCCCCCCGTGTGGTTCTGGGATTTTTGCTCACCGTTCTTGTGATCATTTTGACCCCACGGGGTGAGATCTTGCGTGGAGCCCCAGATCGAGGGAGATTATCAGTGGTCTTGTATGTCTTCCATTTTCTAATTATTGCTCCCACAGTTGATTTCTTCACACCAAGCTGCTTGCCTATTGCAGATTCAGTCTTCCCAGCCTGGTGCAGGCCTACAATTTTGTTTCTGGTGTCCTTTGACAGCTCTTTGGTCTTCACCATAGTGGAGTTTGGAGTGTGACTGTTTGAGGTTGTGGACAGGTGTCTTTTATACTGATAACAAGTTCAAACAGGTGCCATTAATACAGGTAATGAGTGGAGGACAGAGAAGCCTCTTAAAGAAGAAGTTACAGGTCTGTGAGAGCCAGAAATCTTGCTTGTTTGTAGGTGACCAAATACTTATTTTCCACCATAATTTGCAAATAAATTCTTTCCAAAACAGACAATGTGATTGTTTTCTCATTTTGTCTCTCATAGTTGAGGTCTACCTATGATGACAATTACAGGCCTCTCTCATCTTTTTAAGTGGGAGAACTTGCACAATTGGTGGCTGACTAAATACTTTTTTGCCCCACTGTATAAGTGATCTCATCACACAAAATCTATGACATACTTGCATCTGGTGCAAGTATGTAAATCATGGATATTGTGAGATGATGTCACACTTTTTGTTATTTGACTACCTTGGTCTTTCTCTTGTGGGTTCCATGGGAGGTAAGCTTTAATTTGACTAGGTGTTGTGGGACAAGGCCTGCCTTAAACAAGGAACCAAAGTGTTTGAAGTTAGATGCAACAAAGCATATTTTATTATCAGACTAGACTAGGGGTAGGGATAGGGATAGGGATAGGGATAGGGATAGGGATAGGTGGGGTGGGATGGGATGGGATCAATGGTGAAATCTAAAATTTGTTACTACCGGTTCTGTGGGCATGGCTTGGTGGGGAATGTGACTGGGTGGGCATGGCCATTTTTAAAAAACTTTTAAAACCATTTTTTACATGTAAAACCATATTTAAAAATGCTTTCAAAAGGCTCTGACGATCCCAGCTGAGTTGCCTGATCGTCAGAGGGTTTTTAAAAAACCCTCTGCCGATCAGGCAACTCAGCTGGGATCGTCAGAGCTTGGCTCGTCAGAGGCATTTAAAAGAAAAAAAGCTTCTGATGATCGCGCGGCTCAGCTGGGCATGGGAGGCAGGGGCAGGGATTTTTGCTACCGCTTCTCTGAACTGCCCACCGCCATCGCTACCTACTCGCCCGAGCCGGTCCAAACTGAGCATTTCACCCCTGGATGGGATGGGATGGGATGTCAAGTGTGATGGGACACACAAGGAATTTGTCTTTGGTGCATATGCTCTCAGTGTACATAAAAAGACAAGATACACTCGTCAAGAATCACAAGGCACAACACCCAGTGACAGTCATACGGTACAATAATCAATCAAATCATGCTAGGAAACAGTCAATATCAATATAAATTGCAAGGATATAAGCAACAAGTTACAATCATGCAGTCACAAGAGAGGAGACTACAGTGATCTCTTGGCCACAAGAATGTAAAAGAATCCCAAACTATTCAAGGTTATGGGTTATATACTTCCAGAACTGACCCAGGGTTAAGAACGCAGTGTAAATCAGATTATCATCTTTGTAGCTGGAATGTAACATCTGATAATACTATAGGATGCCCTTACTGGAGTTTCACCCAGAGCCTCTATAAAGACTCCAAATCTCTTCTACTGATACTAGCATCTTTTAACATAAACAATGTCCTTTATTTTTTCTAAATGTCTATGGAGATTCTCAGTCATCCAGGTCATGGTTGTTCCAAAGAGACAACTGGACTTTCTGGTTTTTTTCTCTTCAACTCTGTCCTTTATTGTACTCATGTAGTGTCTCTTTTCACACTAGAAAAAGGGCCATAATTTCATTTCAGTCTCCTTCCCCTTTGGGGTTTTGGGGGGTTTTCAAGTCTGCTCTGTCTAATAATACATTTCAGAACCATAAGAAAATAATTGAATATTATTTGTCTCCCAGTGTCTTTTGGGGAGGGAACTGAGCTGAGTGTTAATGAACTTTTATTAGTGGAAGTGTTTTTCAAAATTGTGGACTACATTTCACCACTTCTTTGCAGTTGGATATTCTGGGTAGAGCTGATGGGAGTCGGTCCAGAATATTTGAAGAAAGTAAGTTGTCTACATTTGGACTAGCAATAGCACTTATATACCGCTTCATAGTGCTTTTACAGCCCTCTAAGTGATTTACAGAGTCAGCATATTGCCCCCAACAATCTGGATCCTCATTTTACCCACCTTGGAAGGATGGAAACCTTGAGCCAGTGAGATTTGAACTGTTGAACTGCAGCTAGCAGTCAGCTGAAGTAGCCTGCAGTACTGCGCATTCACCTCGGCTCTTATCTCTTGGACATACATTCCTTCCACAACCTAATGTGCATCCAATGTCCTAGAGCATAGCTACTGTCATATACATAGGTAATTGAAAATAAAGCAAGTTGTAGTTTGATATATCAAGTCTTTATATATCAAGATGATGTCAGGCTGAGGGACACTGTTATAAAACTTAAAATAAATTTGGTTTGTAAATGGTTGGGTTTTAAAAAATATATGCTGGCCATTTAATATGACCTAAGAACTTAAGAGCCAGTTTGATCTAGTGGTTAAGGCACTGTCTAGGACAGTGGGTCTCAACCTTCCTAATGCCGCAACCCTTTAATACAGTTCCTCATGTTGTGGTGACCCCCAACCATAAAATTATTCCTAAAACCATTGAAAATATGTATTTTCCGATGGTCTTAGGTGACCCCTGTGAAAGGGTTGTTCGACCCCCAAAGGGGTCCCGACCCACAGGTTGAGAACCACTGGTCTAGGAGCAGGGAAACTTGAGTTTTAATCAGGTTTTAAAGGCCTTGGAAGAAGGCAACAGCATACAACTTCTGAAATATTACGCATGAATTTGTCCATGTTGTGTCCAGTGTTAGGTGTGATCAGTTAGATAGTATCAAATATATACCAAGCTCTATTGACAATTAACTTTCCATTTTTGTTCTCTTCAGAGTAACTGACAAAGATGTCTATGGAATAACTGTGCCTCTTATTACAAGTACTACTGGAGATAAACTGGGAAAATCTGCTGGGAATGCAGTTTGGCTTAACAGAAATAGGACTTCTCCTTTTGAACTCTATCAGTTCTTTGTCAGACAGCCAGATGCCATTGTTGAAAGGCAAGTCTATTTCTACATGGAAAGTTATTTTCCTGCTACAAACAAAAGGACTAGTTTGCTAGAATGATGATTTGTAGGATGCTGGACTATCAACGGGGAAAGCAGAATTCAAAGCTTTATAGCCATAGAGCTCACTTTCTTTCAGTCTAGCACAAATAGGTACGCAGATGCTTTCTAATTGTTTCTATTTACATTTTCAATAATGTTGGTATATAAAGGGCAGAAGACTCCATTTCTTTAACTGGTTTTACAGAATTGTTGTGACAATCAAGTTGGAGTGAGAAAAAAAATACTCATCTTGAATGTCCTAGAACAGTGATGGCTAACCTTTTCCAGACCAAGTACCCAAAGCGCGCACGAACTCCCAAAACCACCCCGCCCCCACTCATGTGTGTCCCCCCCCCCGCGCATGCGTGGCAGAGACCCAAAGATCAGCTGGCTGGTGGGAGACGCACATGTATGCACAGCGGAGCTGAACTGGGGCGATGGCTCACGTGGCATCAGAGAGGGCGCTGCGTGCTACCTCTGTCCAGCGTGCCATAGGTTCGCCATCACGGTCCTAGAAGTTAGAATATATGTGGTAGGTTTTTTTAAAAAAATGATGCTTAGAGCACTCCTCACAATTGGTTTATGCCATCTCAAACTTCAGGAAATAGTACTTTTGACACCCAAAGAGCCTAGCTCTGTTCAAACTGATCAACTGGATACTCGATAAACTTTAAAATTAAATACTTAAAACATATCCTCAATTTTATGGGTTGATGAATAACAAAGAAGGTTAACAGCTCCACTGCTTGTTGTATAAATTGCATACAAATAATACATTCCTGATTTTCAAAACATCTCCCAATTTTCAGAGCTGAATGTTTCTGAATTTACTGTGGTTAGTTGTCATATATTATTTTAGCTCTAACTGATCAGAAACAATTATTGCTAGTGTCAGGTTTTATTTTCAATATTTCTAGAAAAGGAAACATTAATGTATTTGTCCCACTTTTAAATTATGTACATTTTTTTAAAAAAATTGTAAATCTGCATTATGTGACACTGAAGCAAAATAATGCTATTTCCTCTTTAAGGTATTTGAAGCTTTTTACTTTCCTTTCTGGTATGGAAATTGATCATATCATGCAAGTGCATGCTAAAGAACCTGAGAAGCGGGGACCTCAGAAGCGGCTTGCTGCTGAAGTAACTAAGCTTGTTCATGGCAGGAACGGTCTGGAATCTGCCAAGAGGTAAAAGACAGATTGAATTTGTTAAATCTCATTTGGTGGACAAAAGTTCTGTTAATGGATATATAAGCAAGGCTGTAGCTTTACACATAGCAAAAAGAGAGGCAATTAAATTCTGGATTTCCCATCTTAATTTCTCCATCCCAAATTGGAAACTTCTAAACCAGGGGTGTCAAACTCAATTTCATTGAGGGCCGCATCAGGGTTGTGCTTGACCTTGGGGGGGGAGGGGGGGGCTGGGTCTGTGTGGCCAGGGTGGGCATAGCCAGGTCGACGTTACTCATGTCAGAGGTACCTGTGGTGGCCCAAGTGCTCTGCCCAGCGAAAACAGGCTCCCAAACTCCATTTTCGTCTGCAACGGCCTCCTGCAACCCTCTGCCAGCAAACACGACCTTGGGAGTGTCGCACACAGCCGTCGTGAGCTCTGTTTTCAGCTGCGATGGCCTCCTCCAACCCTCTGCCAGCAAAAACGGAGCTAGGGAGAGCCACACACGGCCCTCCCGAGCTCCGTTTTCAGCTGCAACAGCCTCCTGCAATCCTCTGCCAGCTAAAACGGAGCTCGGGAGGGCCCCGTACGGCCCTCCTGAGCTCCGTTTTAGCTGACAGAGGCACTGCTGGCCAGTCCGCTGTTTTAATGGTGGCCCCACAGGCCAGATCTAAGCACCCTGCGGGCCGCATCCAACCCCTGGCCCTTGAGTTTAACACCCCTGCTCTAAACCAAGAAAGGAAAATCTAATGTAAAGATACTTTCTCATCATTTATTTCACAAATGGTGTGCAGGGATGTTGAGGCACATGATTGGTGCAGAGGAACTTTGGAACTGAAGCCTTTCCAGTCCTCTAAACCTACTCTATCCCCAAAATGAAAAGAGTTTCTCCCACTGGGAGCAGCAGATGTTTATTTTATTTTCTAAAGTGAGGGAGAAGACATGAAGCTGTCATTATTCATGGTATTTTTCCAGCAGGATGATTGTAAACGCTAGAGCACATTGAAGCATACAAGTGCTCTTCCTAAATTGAGAAAAACTGGAATAGCAAATATTGGTGCAGTGCGCGTTTTGATACCTACTTCTTTATTACCAGATGTACAAAGGCCTTTTATTACAGCAATGTGGATGCATTAGAAAATATGTCTGACGAAGAGCTACAGGAGCTCTTTAGAGAAGCACCTTACATAGAAATGCTACTTGAACCTGGAACAACAGTACTTGATTTGTGTCGGAAAACTAATGCAATTGCAGATGGACCAAAGGGGTAAGTTAGGACATGTTTTTGTCTCTTTGTACTCCTGCTTTCTATAGGATATGCTACAAATTGCCTTGATGTAGAAGTTATTTTCCATGAATCCTATATACAGGTAGTCCTCAGGTTACAATGGCAATTGGGATTGGGATTGCTATCACTTAAGTGAAGGGATGATAAAGTACATCAGATGACATCATTGCTTAACAATGGCAATCCTGGTTGCTGTCATAACCCTAAGATATAGGGGTCATTAAGTGGGAAACACTGTGAGTCCTAGATAAAGAGTGAAGGGGTGTCACAGATAGGTAGAAGTCAGGGATCCTTGGAGTTGCAGGCAGCCTGGGAGCCTAGCAGAGGTGGTGGTCATGTGTGGGCAAGAGATACTTGCAATTCTATCAGAATATAGGGTGTCTGCTTTTTCCAAGTTTTAAAAATAACAAATCTGCCCTACCTAACATTCCTGATAAATGCTCATTGCTTCTAAACCATCTGAGATTTATTAGCAGTAAGTCCAACTGTACAATTTCTTCTTCCAGATACCGTGACATAACAGTTGGTGCGGTTTCTATAAACCATATTACAGAAACTAATCCTGAAGCTGTACTTATTCTTGGACAACATATTCTCAGTAATGGTTTATCACTACTGAAGATTGGAAAGAAGAACTATTATATTATAAAATGGCTTCAGTTGTCACATGAAGAATGACAATATTAAGGTTTGTAGTAAGTTATGAAAGTCACCTTCCTTCAAAGATATCAGAAAGGCATAACATACAGAAGTACACATCAAGGACAGTGGAGCAGTTGTGTAAAGTGTTTTTTCTCACTGAGTGAGACCTGCTTACCTACAGAATCATTTGGAAAATGGATGGTGTTTTATTTCATCATTCAGTCATGAAATACCCTGTTCCCCCCAAAATAAGACATCCCCTGATAATAAGCCTAATCGGGCTTTTGAGCACATGGCAATAAGGCCAAGTGCTTATTTCGGGGTTCAAAAAAATATAAGACAGGGTCTTATTTTCGGGGAAACACGGTAATGTAATGGTTTCAGTTATAATGGAATTTAAATATATAAATCATTGTGGAAATATTCTCTGCAATAAGGACATTAAAGTGAATTTTCAAAGACTTACTAGTTGCATCATTATTTGAATTACAAGCTCTAGGTAAAATGGCCTATTCTAAACACTATAACCAATTTTGTTCACTATTTTCTAAGATAATATGCTGAGAGCTTATGCACCTGAGACAAATTCCTTGTGTGCCCAATCACACTTGGCCAATAACAAATTCTATTTAGTGTCATTATATGGGGTGGACAGTTTGGACAAAAACATAAGCATGCCTTGAAAAAGGTAGCTAAGTTTCTTATTATTGAAACATCAGTAGTTTCAGCTTCAAAACAAATACTGGGATAGGTGAGAAATGTTAATTTTATTATAACTTAGCTTTGAGATCTAATCTAAGTGAAAAGTCTAATTTTTTAAATTATCAAATATCAGCAGAAGCTTTATATATCCTATGCTTTCCAAGTAAGATATTACAGATATTTTGCAATAACCAAATGCTGCCTTTACTGCTTTCCCAGCTTGCTTTTGTTTAAAGCTTAGTTTTCTCTGAATCTAGTTACTATCAAATTGCTATTCATCAACAGTAGTGCTGGGCTGTAGCCATAAATTGCATTTATATAATTGGAATCAGATTTGTAGTTTAATCTGACATGCCCAGTCTGTAATAGTGGGGTGTGCTGATCATATGCTGGCAATTAAAATATTTCTTTGATTGGCCTTACTGTCTACAAGAACCAGAATTGCCAACGTCCACATCTTGTGAGTACATTTCATATATTGTTTCATATTTACTAGGATAATGTTTCACAAAGCTATATTATAATTGTATTAACTTCATGAATTTATCCTTCTTAGACACTTCATTAATAAAGGAGGATTGAAAAACAGTAGTAGCAGAAAAAATTGGGCTACACTTCTTTTTAAATAAATCTAAGCAACTACTATTATCGTAGTTACAACTATTTAAAGCAATTAAAATACTTGCATTTACTGAAACTTCACTCAGCTGCCTTGACAAGTGATTATTAAAACTGACCATACTTTAAAAGGTGATTTATTGGTAAAAAACTATCAACTTTACAGAGTTAGTTACAGTTATAACTTTAGCAACTGACAAATTGTCTATGCATAATCTTCAGTTTTCGTAGGTTCAAACTGCAAATCATTTATCTTTGCAATGTTTGCTATGGCAGATGAGGTTTACATTGCTTTAGACCCAAAAAATCTATTAAAGAAGAAATATTTCTGTAAAAGTTAACTGTGATCTGATCCAGGACTAGAATACTAAAAAGCACCTTGCCTTGATATACATTTCATACTTTCTATTGTACCAGGACTATTGAAAATTATAGAAATTGGACGAGTGTAAAACATGTACTGGGAATGGAACAATTTGGGAACCATTCCATCTTCTTTATCTTCCCTAGTAGAGAAGGGGTTTACTTGGAACATCAGAAACAATTCCTGTTCCAAAAGAGCTACTTCTCAAGATTTAGGAGACCATCACCAGAAAATGGATCAGCGTAATCTGAAGAAAGTTGCCATATGCCCAAACAAAACAGTTGTGTTGGCCCATCTCTAAGTAGTCATATTACTCCACTTGATTTGATTCAAAGCTGTTGTTAGTTCTTGGAACTGCCTGTATTGATGTAATTTAGAACAATTTACTTCAGAGACAAACGGCAATTAAATATTGCAAGAAATATGAGCTTTGCCTTCAAAATTATATTTCACATTACTTTTAGAGCAAGACAGATTTTTATCAATGACAGGTTAACATGTTTAGTCTGACCCATGTTCTTGTTTACTTTTGAAGATGCAATGGAAACTTCCAACATCCACATCTCTCAGTCACGGATCAATGCAAAAATTATCAGGAACATGCAACATTACCTATGCGATGAAAAATCTTTAAATCCAGTTGGATGTTCCCACTTAACACCAATAGCACTTAGATTTATATACCAGTTCACAGTGCTTTACAGTCCTAAGTGGTTTACAGAGATGGCATCCCCCCAACAATCTGGGTCCTCATTTTACCCACCTTGGAAGGCTGAGTCAATCTTGAGCTGGTGAGAATCGAACTGCTGGCAGCAGGCAGTCAGCAGAAGTAGTCTGCAGTACTGCTTTCTAACCCACTGTGCCACCACAGCTCTTAAAGGCAGGATCCAATCAGAAATTAATATAAACAAGAAAACAATATTTCTTCCAAAGTTCCTCTAAAACAGAATAATTTCCCCAGGGGTTAATTTGGGCATATCCTAGGAGTAATGGAATAATGTGTTGCTTGTTTGTGAGTTGGGGATACTGCTGTCAAGACATTTGTGTAAAACAGCAGTCTGGTTTTGTGTGCTTGTGTGTGTTTATGGGGTAATGACTGGGCAGAGATAAAATACTATAGTACTTCTAACTCATATACTAATGCAATTCATTGAATTCTGCCAGAATCCTGGCATAGCAGTTCTTAAATTCAAGACCATCTAGTTCCACAGATTTGCAAAGGCCACAAACGAGATTCAAACACAATTTTATTTTTCATATGATTAACCTGTACGTGGGTGTGAATTTCTGTAATAATTCTGAACGCAGAGACACATTTAACAGCAGTAAATGCAACTATGTTTCAGTGTAAAATAACTCATATACTTTCAAACTTACTGAATATTAAAAATGTCCGGTCTCAAATGATTTAGGTCAACTCCTTTTTTAGCCTGTTACGTTGACGCTATCAGCCAAAATTTGGTTTTCCACTAGTATGCATGGAAGAAAGCACTGCCTACTTCCCAATGTGTGCTGCTCAAAGGAAGCTAGAAATATTCATTTCAAACGCGACAGTTAATATGCTTCCTTTAAAAAGGAAAAAAATATATCTGTGATAAGAGGTGTTGTGCTTTAAAATAATAAAATATTCAGGGATCAGTATGCCATTGTTGCTTTTGCTGGTCATCGTAGAGAAGTCAAACAAATTGGCTGTATCACTGGGTTTTTTTTTTTTTTTTTAAAGGCAGTAATACATTCTGGTGATCCAAGTTGATGTGATGGACAGCTGCCTTCAGTGTTCTTTTTAAGATTTTTAAGAGAGACATGATCTTTCATACTATTTCCACTTATTTTTTTAAAGCCTGGTATTTTAAGGGAATGGTCCCAGGTTTTTGGTCCCATCCAGAGGAAGCTGGTGAATGGACATTTCTTGCCAATTCTATTGTTCCTCAGCTGACTAATCAAATATTCCATATTTCTATAACAAAGAAAAGTTCAATAATACCAGAAGTTAAACCAACTATCTTTGAGCTTACATATCACATGGCTAAGAGGCAATATTTCTCCTGTACTTGTCCATCTGCTTGAGATCAAGGGCATGCAATTAAATTCATAATTAAATATTGTAGGGTCTTTCTTTCATGGTTAAAAACTTATATTGCAAAAGCAGCTGAAAAAGCTACATCACAATACTACACTGCTCATCCTATTCACAGGCAACTAATTTAACCAAACCAGGCACTGGGATTTTAACCTAGCTTTTCCCCCCCTCCATTTTAACTTAATTCAGTACCACATAAAACAAGGTTGTTCTTTGCATCAGAAAACAGCTGGGGGGTAATGATGATTAAATATTATTTGCTTTGCAAAGTATAGGATGTTTTTCTGTCCATAGACAACTGAACCAAACTTCTTGATATAAGCAGACTTTACATGCTGCAGTACACATGGAGTTTCATTAGTATATAACACCTAGCCCTTTTCAAGTCTCTTGTTTGTTCACCAAAGATGCGTTTCTCTAATCTCTGCGATAATTTGACTGGCTCGTTGCAGGGCCTGAAAAAAAAAAGAAGAAGAAATCATATACCAATTAGGGCAAAGGGCATCAATTCAGAAGTGCTTCTTGTCAGGCAATAATTTACAACTCTTAGGAACACCCTGAATCATTCTGCTCTGCAATTTTTTTAAAAGAAAAAGGAGTATATTAAACATTGTAAAATGGTGGAAAGGCTTGAGCACAAAGAATTGTGGTTCAGGTTTTTCCTGTGATGTTACTGTATCTTCACTGACACTTCTAGAAAGAAGGAAAGATATTGAACATGGGGGAAGGAGGGAGATGCTGGCTCTCAAAATCCGCCCACTATTTTATGTAGATTTTGCCCTCTAGTATAGACTTTGCCCTCTATTATAGATTCAAATGCTCAATTGGGTTATTTAGGTTACTTTAAAGAAGCCAATGCTAGGGGAGAGTTGATTTGTTTAATAAAAACTCAAATTTGATCTCCATAAGCATTATGGTTCATAAATGCATTTAACAGCAATTACTTCGCTATTATTGTCCTAGAAACTCCAGTTATATCATGCTTATTTCAAAGTAAAAGTAAATAATAGAAATAAAAATTACAAGAGCCAGGGAGATACAGACATACTTCCTGCATTGCAGGACATTTACAGGAAAAATAGGATTAAGTAAAGATATTCATTTTTTTGATCTTCATATGCCAAGGCGTGCTAGTTATAGGCATGTAAGTAGTTCTCAATTACAATCGTAACTGAATCCACAATTTTGGTTGTAAGCGATGATGGTTATAAAGCAGATCATGCTACCATCCACAATTTTATGGCTTTTGTGACAGTCATTACGCAAACCCATAGTTCATCATGGGGCATTTTTGCCAGAAACTAGAAGTAAATGCCATATCATAAATTGCAGTCATGTGATATTGCAAACAGTGGTAAATTTGGGCTGGTTCCTACATGCCCAAAATGCAGTTCTGTAAGAGGGGGAGGAGGGTGGGGAACAGATGTTGGAACTTTGAATCCAGGTCATTAGTAGCTTTTTCCCGATCCATCATAACTTCTAACAGTTGTAAGTCAAGGACTTCCTATAATACTTTTCATGGCGAGGTTCCTTTAGACCTGAAAATTATTCTAAGGGTTCCCCCAGGGTAAAAAGATTGGGAAAACATGCTCGAGGCATTGGGTCAGAAAACAGATTTTACATTACAAAACTACTTTGCCCCTTTTCTGAACTACCAAAGAATTTGTTTCTTTGCTCACCCTTGTGTCTAGAACAGGGTTG